AATGCTCTCAGTGGGAAAGAACATGGACTATGGAGATGAACTGCTCCAGCAGATGGGTAGAAGCGTGGCTGGCTGGTGGCTTTGTCACTAGGGCCCTCCTGTACCAACAAAACTACTTACTCCAAATAAGGCCAACACACAATGCTAGTTCACAAGGCAGATGCATCTGCCACACAAACTCTAACAACAGCTCTAATTTGAAAGACTTGGCACTGGGATCAATCCCTCTTCTTCATAGAAATCAGTCTATAGTTTTGGTATCTAAAATTTTGTATATAATTTTGGTATCTACAATATCAGCTACAAATTCTTCACCAAGTGTGATTCCACCATACTAGATTTTCAAGGAGAAGAGCAAATTTCTATTTCTTACAAGCAATTTCTACCCAAATCAACTCGTATAAAGATTTTTATACCACATAAGGCATTCCCACATAAGCTGTTCTCACCAGTAAGGTTGGAGTCTACCTGCGAGGCTCCTGAAACATTCTCAATTTCCTTTATTTTCCTCTCAAATGGTGATCTAATATGGCTAGCCATAATCTCTACAGAGATTGCCTCTTTCTCTGAGAAATTCTGCCCTTAGTTGAATGGCTATTTGGTACCTAAAATTCAGCTGGGAGGGAGACGCTGGAATTTATTTTGACAACCTATCTTGGTGTCTGTTAGAAGAGTTCATATAGTGAACCAAAAATCTCTCCTAGTCCACTTAAGCCTATTTCCTCTAGTTCAGTTCGTACTAGAGGACAGAAAGGACAGACCAATGGACTAAATGGAGATTCATGAAACATCCATTCAGAGTCAAATCTGAGAGTTCTCTGAACTCTCATCAACTTTTCCTCATTGCTTCTCGATTTTTTTAAAAATGATTTTGCTCTCTCAGTGTTTTAAAGTACCAAGTGTTTCATTTTTTAAGTATTTCCTATGGTCTAGAAGTTCAACAAACTGGAATAAAACTAAACTCAGTGCCCTAGTAAGAGTTAAGTCTCCAAAAATGCATCTGAGGAAGTCATCATTGGGCTGGAAGGTCTGGTAGCATGTCACTCCATTGTGATCTTCAGTAGTTTCACTGTGACTTAGTCTCCCAATTAGTGAATAAAGCTCCCTGCAGAGAAGACCTGTACAACCTCTTTTTTGTTCTTCCCACTCCCGTCTAAGTAGGAAAAAAAAAAAAAAACTCCTAACATATCCTTATCAGTAAGAACTAAAATTCTTTTAATGCCTGAATGATCCTATCATAAGGCAAATAGCTTTGCATAGGCTAAATGGAAGCCTAGAGGGAGTGGTCTTGCACTCTTCTGTATCACAGTTAACTTGTTCCTTTCTTCATTTTTTAAAAACCCCTTTGGAAATTAAGGAAAGTATTCAAATTTGCCATATAGAAAAATGCAACTGTTTTACAACAGGACAGTTGCCAGCTTAGCACCTTCTAAGTCAGTATGTATTTATACTTAAAAACATAATCCAATCAATGAGTTCCATTGGGGTAGTTGAACACCAATTAAAAATCTTATTTTCACCAATATAGAAAAATACTATGAGGACTGGGGTTTTATAATAAAGCAAGATAAAGAAAAGGCAGTTTGGTTTTAGAACTACACGTCTCTCTTGTAAAAGTATATAATTGCACTCTCACAGTAAAAAGATTAGCTGCCTTGAACGGATTCTCAGAGAAAAAATCCTATTATTCCTCTCCACTAAGGTGTAACATCTTCCCATAATTACAGGAAAGCTGTGCATTAAGTTGCATGCTCAGGAAGTAACCATTTCCTAATAAGATGCAAACCTAATCCACTCTCTCCAAGTCAAAAATGAAGACTATGTTCTCACCTTCCACTGCCCTCTTTCATCTGTCGTTCTTCCACTTATAACTCCCTCAATAAGAGGTGCTAAGCAGCAATCAATCAATTTAGAAATTCTCATTAAGGACCACTCTCATCTCAAGGTCTCCTCCCAGCTAAGAGGGTCAGATTCAGTTACTTTATTTGGTAGGAGGCATAGGCAAGAGAAAAAAGTAACTGTGATGCATATGGGCATCTAGTTTGACAGGAAAGCAATTTCCAATATTTGTAAAACAAGTTTTTGAATATCTACTATGGCCATTAAACCCTTGTGTGTCATTTTTGTCAACAATCACGTAACAGACGGCACTTGCTTGGGCTTACACACAACTAGCCATGCCTCTCCCACTAGGGATACATCTCATTCACTCCTCTCCTTTAAATGTCTTCAGGCTGCTGATCAGTTACAGATTCCAAAACTAAACTACCTTCAGATCCACTACGGTCTTCCCTTATAGACCTCAACAACACTATACATCTCTGTGTTATTCATAAATTTAATTAAAGAATCATGGAAACTCAGCAGGAGGAGCCCAAGCAATCTACTCCAAACTTCTCACTTTACAGACAGGCAGCAGCAGACAGAGATTCATCCGAGGTGTCAGAACAGTACATGTGATCCTAGGAATACTGCAAATGAAAGTATCAGAGCTTTATCTCAATTATCAACTTTCAATTCCCTCCCTCCTAGAAAAATAACACTCAATTTGGAAAGTGTCTCTTGACATCAACACTGAAGATAAGAAAACACCACTTGCTTTTAAAAGCCTTACATAGGCCAAAGGCAGAATTCATTCTTTCCTTCTCCATGATTCATAAGGAGTGAGTCAAAATAATTGTTTTTCATGTATTTTACCTAAAACAAGGACAGCTTTAACTTCAAATACCATTAGTACCAGATGAATGACCACTAAGACCAAAGCTACTCAAATTGGAGACATACAAGTCCTAGTCTTCCTTTATGACCATAAAATCTTTCACCAAAGGAGAAAGTAGAGAATTTTGAGGACAGAGAATAGAAGCTAGATAATGTCTGGGAGTAAGAGACTCAAGGATGAGGTACCACAACTTGTATAGACTCAGAATTAAACTTCCTAAAAGGGTAAGAAGGCTTCCCCAACCCTGTTGGGACAGAGGGCCTGAAGGAGAGGTGGCAGTTACACAGCAACCTCTCTACACTGAGAATAATAACTTTTCTCACATAGCTCATACAGAGAGATATAAGTTAGGAGGCACCAATACCACAGGAACATTATCTTTATAGAACCTAGCCTTTCCTCCCTCACCCCACTCTCTGTCCAAAAAGAAATTAAAATAAAAATATAAATCTTCATCCAAATGTGGTTGCTTTCAAACTTTCTAGCTCTTACTCTACTTTCTGAACTTGATAGTTTATTCTGTTTCTTCTTACGCCTTCATAGGCCATTTCTATGACCAAAATCACTCTCGCTGACCAACCTACTCACACAGTTCCTAGAAAAGCTCATAGACCCCTACATCCTATGACCTGGAGTTCTGTTTCCCCTCATGTCCAATACTTACCTCAAATGAGAGAGACAGAATATGCAGGGAAAATAGCCAGAGAAATCTGGGTCTAAACCCTGGCTCTGTCCTTCACTGCTAAGTGGCTTGGAACAAGTTACATTCTCTTTGAGCCCTAGTTTCTCTACCTGTAAGGCAAACAAATTAACCACTACCCAAGACTGTCTTGAGAATTACAGATTATACTTCACAAACTCCCTCACTGAATGAATGTAATGTAGTATGCATTAGATAAACATTAATAATTTCTATAAACTCCCATCTGGCATTTCATTTCAGGACACATAAATAGCTTTAAAAAAACACCCTGTGTGTCAAATTTGGGGACACTTTCCTGAGATCCTTCTGAGTCCCTGCTGAAATCCATCACTCCAGATGTTTTCTTAGGAGTATTTCCTTCATTACCTATCAGGCTGAGCTCTGATACCAACTGCCCACTAGATTTTATTGAAGCTTTGGTCCTTCCAATCTTTTAACTTAAAATAATCACCAAAAATATATTCTTGGATTTTATAATAATGATTTCTAAACCAGCTTGACCATTGCCAAATAGTAAATTTTTAAGACTACAAACTTCTGTGTCTTGCCCCCTAGATATTCTGTTTATTTTATCCTAGGAGGGGGCAAGGAATTTTTATCTAATAAAGTTCATAGTATGATTCTAATTATCTGTGAGGTTTTGGAACCAGTGTTTTGTATGATCCCAGATCTTCCCCCTCTGCAGAGAAACATCTGCAAACTAGAAATTACCTGGCTAGCTTCTAATTAGCAGCACCTGCTCTGTGAACCACACTCCCTTCCTCTGCTTCCTTCAAGTGACAGTCAATTCTACCCTGTGGCCCCACCAAAACAATTAAGATACACCCAGGACACAGGCAACTCAGCAGGCACTAAAGACTCTGGATTTCTGCAAAAAAAATGCTATCAACAGCTTCATTTCTCATTATTAATCTATCTCATGTGGGGATTTCTACAGGCAGAAAGGCTCCCCAAATGCCAAGAGCTATATTTTCTTGTAGATCATTGAAACTTAATTATTAACAGACCAGTAAGTCCCACTACCAGACTTTCATACAATCACCAGATCACAAAGACAGTCTTGAATTATGGGCTATGGGAAATAGCTAAAAATCCAAAAAGGCAAATTCATTTCTTCACCACTGCTCTCCCACAGGCGACTATATTTGAGTTTCCCTTGAAGATATAAATCTTAGGTAATGCAATGCTTGCACACAAACATTTTAACACCTCAGAACCTAGGGATACATAATATACATGATCCAATCAATCTGTTACATTTGTCCTAATTATGAGGATATCTCCGCATGCCAGTCTACCCTAACTACCACCAAGACTTGAGTCAGTCTGTCCTAAATGCCAGTAGCACCAGCATCAAGCGTTGTTACCCAGAGCACATCTGACTAAAAGGGTATCATGCTGAAGTTTCAAACTGTACTAGAAACAGTGCATGTGGTTTAGTACATTGGTTTAGAAGCAAGCACACAGGAGCATCTGACCACGCATATCTTCTCCACCTGTTAGGAAGAACGACAAAGGAGCAGGAACCTGAGCAAGGGGTTTGCAGCTACAGAAAAGAACAAGTGCAAGCTTCCTCACCTGTCTGAGTCCCTTCGGCATTTTCTTTCTCTTCCCAAGGTGCTGGCAGAGATTGCGGTCATTTTCCCGGTCTGAGCTGTAATGGTTGGGGTGGCTGAGTCTGCTCTTCTTGGAGTGAAAGGACAAGCCATTGCTAAGTGCTTCTCGTTTCTTCTTGGTCAGAGGCGTCTGGCATTTCTCCACACGTTCCTGAGGCTTAAGTGCTACATCTTTCTGTACGAACGAAGAGGAAAGAGATACATAGGTAACTAGGGTCGCACCAAAATATAGATATAACGGAGCTACTAGAAGGAGGGGCAGAAAATTGGCCATGAGAATACCTAAAATTAAGAAACATGGCTCTCAACTTTTCTGAATCCCTAATGCCACCACAATATGCCCCTTCTATTCTTGTAGGGCAGAAAACAAAGCACAAAGTATCTATCCATTAAAAGTGGTTTCACTGCTGCCTGAGATAGTGGCTTTCCATTTGATTCTGTGCCGGGTCCAACACACAATGACATTCCCCAAGGAGGCTCACTGCACTCATTTCCCAAGCTGGTACATCAATTATGTTTCAGACAAGGAGTACTAAGTGCATGCATGATTCAGAAAAGACAGTACAAGACTGAACATAACAAGGGCCAGGTGGATGTGAGCCAGCAAGAAACTGTCAATTCATGGGATTACACTGTTTCCTTAATACATTATATATTTTTACCACAAGTTCCTGTGAGCATCTTTAATCTCCACTTCTTTGCAAAATGTAAAGAATTTTCATAATTCCTTATGAATGATCTTCATAATTAATATTATTATCACCATGATCTGCAGTAACTTTTCATTTATTCCTGTGTGTGGCTGGGGGATGAGGGGAAAGGTAGGAGAAGTGTAATGGATGTCCTAGAACTGAAAGCAGCATCTAGAGAAACTGCAGGTTGGCATTTCAGGCCACAAGAACTAGTATAATTGTGTGCCTGCAGGCTGCTCAGAGTCTAGTGAAATACAAAAAGACCTGGGTTCCAGCCCTGGCACTGATATTATTCATTTGGGACTTGAAGTATGTCACATCAAGTGGCTGATATGATACATGTGAGTGTCCTTTGAACCCTGAGAAATGCTGAGAAAATACTTTATTAGATAAAAATTCCTTGCCCCCTCCTAGGATAAAATAAACAGAATATCTAGGGGGCAAGACACAGAACTAAAATTAAAAAGATATGGCACTTAATCACTTGTAAATGAGTGGATATGATCCTATTTACACTGTAAATGCTCCTTCCATCTGAACCTCACCCCTGCACAAATTCTGTTTCTGTGGTCTTAAACACACATTTAAAAATAAAACCAAAATATTTACCCATTTCTCCTCTCAAAATGTTACTCTCTCATTCCTCTCCCTCATAGCCAATATTCTTGAGGCAGTTATCCCCTCTGCTGCTTCCCAACACACCCCAACACACCCCACTGACATCCACAGTGCTCCTCCTTTCCCCAAATCAGCTATGGCCATTAGTTTGGGACCGTGCACCTTTGCATCTGCTCTGCCTTGGCCTCAGAAGTCCTTCTTTCCACACCCGTCCCTTTTCTAGGAAAACTCTTGGCAGTGCTGCCCCCTCAGGAAGTTCTCTCTTGTAATGCAAAACACTGTTGCTCATGCCTTCACTCATTTAACAAATATATTTTGTGCACCCAGTATATGCCAAGTACAAACCTTGCACTGTCTTATAGGTAGTAGGAAAACAATTGTGAGAGGAAAAAATCCCTATCTCATGGAGCTTAGAATTAGGAACATATACAAACCAAATCACAGAAACAAACATCTAGTTGCAAACTGAACTAACTAACTGCTCTAAAGGAAAGGCAAAGGGTGCTAAAACTGGGAGAAATAATCTAGTTCAGAGGAGGGGTTGCTGCTGAAGAGATAACTGCTGTTTGACCTAGTTCTGAAAGTCTGAGCAAAGAGAACAGCTTGTGCAAGAGCCCTGAGGCAGCTGGTTGCATGATCCCTTGAAAAAATGAGAGCAGGGACTAAGTATCATTCATCTCAGTAACCCCAGTACTTCACACACAGAATAAGACAAATAATAATTGGTATACATATTTGTGTTTTCTAGATAAATGAGACAATTAGTTAAAACATCCAAATATATAAACCATAATAGTGATTTAATAATATCCTAAGCCACCCCTAACACAGAGTGAGGCAAGCCAGAATAGTTGATTGAAGCAAGAAACCAAGGAACCTCGCAGGCACTGCTGACACAAGAACAACCACAGCAAACAGCAAGAAGGCCCAGAAATGGAAGAAGGCCTTATCCTTAGAGCAAGAAGATATCAAAGATAACAATCTTATAAGGCAAATGAGTGGCTTCAGGTCTGTTCTAGCGGCTGTTGCTGCAGATGATTTACCCTCTGCCACTGGAGAGGCAGCTCTCCTGAGGCAGTGAAGACGTGACGATAAATGTTTAGGGGACAAGCCAAGATGGAAGCAAGTGCACATGGCCATTGATTCCACAGTCTCTGAACTTTGTACACTCTGCCTAACAGATGGTAAATATTCAATAAATGTCTGCTATATTTATTCCTTTGTCCAGTGTCCATTTCCACAGTCAACTATGTCAGAGATCTGCTCAGCTCGAACTGTTCTGTGTTTAGCCTCAAATGTAAACAAAACAATCAGCTAACATGAGAAGACACACATGAATAATGGCAACACTGGCAGAAGCAGCTGGATGAGTTCCATCCTGGGCTGCTTTATATATGATAAACTTGTGCCACTTCAAAGGGTAATATATAATCTCTCCACAGGGTAAAAAAACTCCTTTCTTTGTCATACAACCCACCTACTGTCCTGCATCAAATGCATGTGGAGTATCAATTTAATAAACAAATGATACTTAATAATGTATCAATTGTGTTTTTTAAAAAAATTATGTCATTCTCTTTGAAGACCAAATCTTCTTTCATACTAAAGGTGCTCCGAAGTATACTGAAAATTATGTGCAATTCCATTCAAATGTAAATTAATATTTGAGTATGGTACAATTTTTTCCAAATCCATTTTATTTTCATGTAGCATATTAATCAAGGCATTCTCACTGTACCACAGAATACTTACACAGAGCAAATGCACCCCATGCCGTGGCATTAGCTTGTAAGAGACCTACCCAAGACCTACCAGCAGTGACACAATCATCTCAGCTCCAATTAATACTGAGATTTTCAACTCTGGAGGGTGTGTGTGGGGGGAGGAGGGAAAGAAGAAAGAGAAGATCAAAGTGTGTATAGAGGTGATGGCTTAAGAGGTGAGTCTTTAAGAAGCTTTTATTATGTAATAGGTTTATATTTTCAAATATCAGAGATTATCTTTATTCTTTCAAATATACAGTTCTATTTATAAATTACAGACCCTTTGGTATAATTCCTAAATAAACCAGGCCATGTTTTTCCCTCTATAAACATTTATTGGCGTTTTACTAAATATGAAGTAAAATAATCACGTAACTTCTCACTGACTGTCTTGGGGAGGAAACAATGACAAAACGTGTCCATGTAAACAATGAGACTGAAAGACAGACTGATTCTAAAGAGCTGTTCACACAGTGACAAACATGTGTATGTGTGCCTATATCCATCTGCCAGCCCACCACTAACAAACTATTATGACTAATTTAAGAATTTCCTTAAAGAAATCTGGGCAGTCTATAAAGTACTGCTATAATACGGTGAGAAATTGTCTAGTTTATATATAACTCATTAAGATCAATGAATCACAGTTACCAAAGGCCTTTTGATTCATTAGTCTCCCATGATCTAGGCTATCAACTCCCAAAGAAAATTAATGTCCATCAGTATTATATGCAGTGCTTTTTGAAAGAAAGGTAACTTATGCCCCAGACTTGGCAAGAGAAGCACTTAGCAAAAAGCACTGGGAGGGAAAGGGGAGGAAGGCAGCAAGATGAGGAAGAGGCCTGGAAAAAATGTTTTAAGGCATTCATCTGACAATCACAGAAGCAAGAAATCTAGTCAGCCAACAACAGAGGGCTGGCTGGAGGGAAAAAGATTTTGACATATTTGCTGGCAATACAGGGGGTAAGTGCATAAGCCATGCATAACAGATGGGAATAGGTTTCATCAATAGTTGAAATTATGTGATTTTTAGGTCAATGGTGATGGAGGGCAGGGTCACAGCAGTGCATATGCTCAGAGGCTCAGAGACTGACTAATCAAGGCAATTTCCTTCACCAGCCTTCTTCAAACTAGGTGACCTCGCTCTTGACTCTCCCTTCTCCCAGATCACAATCTTCCACCGGATGTTTGCTCTGTTACTCTTGAATTGCAAAATGTGATAGCTCAGGGTTGTACAAATGAGAGGCAAGCAAAAATACAATGGATGAAAGGCTGTGGAGGCTGCAGGGCCCCCATCTGCTGATCACAGATGAAGCCAGGGACAATGGAAAATGAGGACACACTTTGCCTGCCTTGTATGGAACAGGTTTTAGAAAGTTTCCTTCTGATTTTTCCAATCAAACTATTCTGAGGGCAGCCCATCACTTACAAGGCATCTGTGGTATGTGTGTCTGCATGTGCCCATCTGTACATGTATGTATGAAGGAGGGCTACAATTTAAAAGGAACCTTTTCTGTTAGTTATTAGATCTTAGGGACTTGCAAACAAAATAACAAAGAAGAATAGGAAAAAGTGCTTTACATCACCATCAAAAGACATTAATGGCTGTATGCTGTCATTTTATTCTGTCAAGCCCTTTGTTGGTTTATTGTATTGCATTTGTACTTGTTTTTGAATGGTTTCACATACATTGTTTTCATCACCTCTCCTAAGTGCAAAAGAAGTCATAACAGCAAGTAAAAAGTTTAAAAAGAAACAAAATACAGCCCTGTTAAAACTTAATTTTATGTGGGTATGTTCACATTCATCACCACTTTGGACTTTTAAACAAAAGGAACAGATGTTCAAGACCTAAACTTTTCAGTAAGTAGAAGACACTGTAGGAATTTACAAACAAAATTACCAATATGGAGTTCAAAAGAACAATATTTCATGTTCATATCCTCTAAAAACAAATTAAAATACCTAGTATAGGACAGACACTTTTCCACTTTTTAAAAATATCTAAGAAAGAATCCCTGAACTTGGGTTGTTTAATGGGGCAGCAGGTAAACCATTGAGCTATTACATAGTCAGGTGAGTTAGGTGGGGTGCAACCAAGG